GCATATCCAAGGTTGGAACTGCACTGTTAATATGAGACATGAGCAATTGTTTAGTTGGGCTTTTCCATATCTAAAATGTTACCCTCTGCCTCGTGAAAACGGGTTAACGCCACAGATATTTGCATTATTGATATCCAATATTTTCAGATGAACCATTTCAAAATTGGTTAAGCTGCCAGAATTGTGGGAAGGAACATGAATCAGGAAACATTTGAAATGTCTGGGAATTTTGGATTGCTAAATCATGGTGCAAAATGCCATTGAATCTCACTGAAGTACTTAGGCAGTAATTTAACTGGCTAAAAATGCAATACATTTCACTTCAAATGCAAAGAATTGCTAACCGTATTGTATGTTAACATAAAAAGTGTTATAATTGAATTCCAGAACATTTTATTGTGCCACAAGCTGGGTGACCTTTTTTTAAACAAACTTCTTTAAAAGGCTTTGACTATAATGGCCGGAAGTAGGCTTTGAAGTTCACAATCCATTAAGATGAAAGGGGAAGATTTTTCTGTCTTTCTGCAGAGGAGGCAGAATAGCAGTGCATTGACTTAAAGGAGACCGAAGTAGGAGTGAAAGGTGCTTCACAACCCAAAAAACTAGAAACTTTTCTCTTATTTTCTCCATTAGTTTTCTTTAACAGGGCACCCAAAAAAACCCTGTAGCCTATACATTATCTCAAAACTCAGTGCAGGTTTGCAAACCTATATCAAGTTTGAGTGTGCATTCAATCCCTAAACTAAGAAAAACCTATATATTTTCAGGATTCATTCTGAAACTTTGCATTACCCAAATCCGAACCAGTGCTGTGATCCTGGAATGTAAACAAAATCTTACTAGGACATAGATCAGACAAGTGATTTGTATCTTTTTTTTTCTTGATTTCATACAAATTTAACTGTGGTTTATTGGGTAAGTATGACAAATAATTCTGTCTACAATTCAGTTGTTGTAAAACCTAGGAAACACCATCAATTTGTAGTTTGTCAGTCCACAGAGCACTGGGACCCATATTAGAAAACAGCAATCCTAACTGCAGAAGTTAGAGGGGTTGTGGCCTTAATGCAGACCAGAAGTCAGGACCAGTTGTGTTTTCATCCTGGCTCTGCAATATCTCTCTATGGTGTGACCCAGTTCCCACAGAAGTCAATGGAAAGATTCTCAATGAAGTAGCCTTGGGTGAATGTTACTTAACCTTTCTAGGTCTAATAGTGGTTACTATTTATCACCACCACCACCACTCCCATAACCGCATTGGTCATTGGGGCACCATCATTGATGAGCAATCAACCAATTGTCTCCACCCCTGACGATTGTGTATCAGTGCTTGAGTAGCAACGAAGTCCATTCCTGTCCACTCTTTAATGTCGTCAGTCCATCTCTTCTTCTGTCTACCTCTTCTTCTCTTCCCCTGTACTGTCTCTTGGAGGATGATCTTGGATAGGCCAGAGGATCTTGTTACATGGCCATACCACTTCAGCTTGCGCTTCTTCACGGTCATCAGGAGGTCTTCATATGACCCAGTGCATTGGGTGTTGATGTTGCAGACCTCTTCATTAGTGACGTGGTCGAAGTATGAGATGCCCAGGATTTTACGGAAGCATCTCATCTCTACTACCTATATTTTCCATTCAAGTTCTGCCATAAGGGTCCATGTCTCGCACGCATACAGAAAAATGGAGATGACCAATGCGTGCAGCAGTTTAAGTTTGGATTCCAGGGACATATTCTTGTTCCTCCAAACAGCTTTGCCACTGCTGCTGTTGTTTGTGCAGTTCTTGCCCAAATTTCTGCCTTGGATCCTTCATCAGTGATGATTGCCCCCAAATATTTGAACTGTTTCACTGTCTCCAGCTCTTGTCCACTGACAGTGATATGTGAGCTGATCCAATCACGTTTGTTTGTCATCAGCTTGGTTTTCTCTGCACTGATTTCCATGCCATATTTTGCGGAGGTTTCATCAAATCATTTCACAAGGTTGGCAAGTTCATCTTCGCTGCCTGCCAGACCATCAATGTCATCAGTGAACCAAAGATTTGAGATTGTTTGCCCCCAAATGCTGACTGTGTATATGTGATCTTCTAGGGCATCAGTCATCATGCGCTCCAAGTAAATGTTGAACAGTGTGGGCAAAAGAAGGCAATCTTGCCAGACTCAAACAGTGGTGCGAAACCACTCTCCTATTGTGCCATTGACAAGAACTGCACTGCTGGCCTTAGCATACAGTTAAGAACATAAGAACGGCCGTACTGGGTGAGACCAAAGGTCCATCTAGCCCAGTATCCTGTCTACTGACAGTGGCCAATGCCAGGTGCCCCAGAGGGAGTGAACCTAACAGGTAATGATCAAGTGATCTCTCTCCTGCCATCCATCTCCACCCTCTGACAAACAGAGGTTAGGGACACAATTCCTTACCCAGTTGTTTAATGGTAAGAATAAGCTTATGACCAACATTGTACTTCTTCATGGTTGCCTGGAGAGCTTCATGCCATACTCTGTCAAACGCCTTCTTGAAGTCAACACATGGTAGATGTCCTGATGGTGTTGTAAGTACTTCTCACATAGAACACGAAGATTGAAAATCTGTTCAGTGGCATTTCTTCCAGCACGAAAGTCAGCCTGTTCTTCAGTGATGATATTCTCTGCTTGTGGCTTCAATCTGTTCAATATGACTTTCAACATCACTTTGCTGGGATGGCTAATTAAGCTTATGGTCCGGTAATTTTGACACAATTGGCAGAATGATGATTAGTGACTGTGTCCACGTGGAGGGCCACTTACTGGTCTGCCAGATCTTGTTGCAGATCTTGGTGAGTACATCTATTACTATTTCTCCTCCGAATTTCAACAATTCAGCTGGGACGTTGTCAATACCTGTAGCCTTTCCGTTCTTGAATGATTTCACAGCTGTGTACACTTCTTCATGCAGTATTGGAAAGTCATCCTCCTCTGTTGAATCTGGGCTGTCTAAGACACTAGGATCTCCATTTGTCTGGTGGTTGTATAGATCAGAGCAGTAGTTTGTCCACCTATTGATGATGTCCCTTTCTTCTGTAAGACTGTTCCCTTCTTTGTCTTGAATTGCGTTAGCTTTGATCCATCTTTCCTTCGTCAGATCTTTTACACCCTGGAAGGCTTGTTTTCTATTTTTATGATTGATACACTCTTCAATATTAGAGCATTGTTTTTCAATCCATATCTCCTTGGCCACCTTCATTCCTTTTTTGATATTTCTGCCAATCGCTCTGTATTTATCAGCTCCCTCAGTGCTGTTCTTGTCTCTCTTAAGTTCTCTTCTAATGTCACACATTTGTAGTATTTCATTTGTGACCCATGGTTTTGTCTTCTTACGATGTTTCCCAACAATATCCATTGCTGCCTCATTCATTATAGCATTGAAATTGTTGGTCATTGTTTCTACGTCTTTCTCTAGAGCAAGCAGCGGGGCAAATTTTCCGCTGATCATTGCGTGGAATGACTCTGCAATGTTTCGGTCTCTGAGTCTTTCTAAGTCAAACTTGGTTCTGGTGAACTTTGGCGTGACGATTTTCCTTAGCCGCAGCCAAAAATTTAGCATCACAAGGTTGTGATCATTTCCAATATCAGCACCGGGGAAGCTCCTTGTTTTAGCTCAGTTAATCCCAGAATGAAATTGGTTTTGCAGCATGATGTAGTCGATCTGGCTGTGATGTAGACCATTAGGTGCGTGCCATGTTGATCATCTGGATGCTTTATGTGCTCCTAATGTGTTTGCAAGAACGAGACTGTTATAGCTGGCAAACTCCAAATGTCTCAATCCCCTCTCATTGGTTACTGCATTACAGAAAGGGCCACAATAACCTCGCCAATCTGCCTGTGCGTCAGTACCCACTTTAGCATTCCAATCTCCTTGTACAATCAGAATATCTTTCTTGTGTACCTTATCGATGATGTCTTGGAGCTGATTGTAAAAATCTTCAGTTTGCTCATCATCGTAGTCTGTTGTAGGGGCGTAGACTTGTACCACTGTCATATTAAACGGTACTGACTTTAGATGGATGGAAATAAGCCTGCTGGACATTGGGCGGCATCCTAATACTGAAATCTTGATATCTTTATGCACAAGAAATCCTACACCGTGGACATGTTTGTCCTCTCCACTGTAATAGAGTATATGGCCTTCTTCCATTAGTACATCTTCAAAGTTCTTCCATCTGACCTCAGAGATTCCTAGGAAGTGCCAGGTATATTGTTCCATTTTGTACATGAGTTCTTTCAACCTCCCTATTTGTCTCAGTGTCCTTACATTCCATGTGGCTATGGTGATGTTATCTCTTCCAGGGATCCTCTTTGTTGGGGTTACACCAGTAGTATACTTGTCACGTCTGCCCTGGTGGGAGATGGATGGTGCCATCATTATTAACCGGGGCTGTGACCAATCCGGCATGGACATAGTTGACTTGTTCATCATATGGTGTGTCTGGGGCAAATTTCTAACCTGGCGGAGCCCATCGCTCTCCAGGCAGCCTCTTATGACATGCAGGAGGAGCAATGGGCCTATTCTGTCCCCGGACCCACTGGGGGCGTTACTATTTATAAGGACTTAATAATACTTACTATTAACCCCATACGAGGCTAACATCACTCACTTACCACCATTGAAGGTTAATGAGTTAATGTTTCTGTAGGACATTGAAGATGAAATATTACTTGGTATTAATCTTGTTTATTATCATTATATGAAGGCCTTACAAGGCAAAAGGCATGAATCAACTTCCCAGGTTGTCCTACAAAATGGGGATTGAACTGTGGAGGATTTTGTTGGTTTTCTTTTAAATTGTGAGCCAAGCTTATGGGAGCTAGAGAATTCTAGTCTTAAGTCTTTTAATTTCTTCAGCTGCACAAACCATGCATACAGTATGCTGCAGGAATAGGAATGTAATTGTGTAAATGCTCTCTTTGGGCATGTAGTGCTTTGCAAATGAATCTTGACAGGGTTTTTCTTGGTTTTCCAACAGGAATGTCCTAGTGGGGTTGTTAATGAAGAGACGTTCAAACAGATCTATGCACAGTTTTTTCCACATGGAGGTGAGTAGAGTGCTTTGTGACTGTCAGACTTATTGAAGCATGTCTTAAAATTCATGTCTGCCAGCTAGCAGCAAAACTATGTCAGCTAGTGCATACTGTAACTTTGAATTGATTTTTTTAAGTTTTACTGAGGTTTTTTAAATATAAAAATACAAATGAGTAAGAAAATAAATATAGACCCCTTAGAATACCTATTGCACAGAAATACAGGTAAGCCTGCGCTAAAGATCATTACCGGGGTCAACCCCCTTTTTTAAGATGAACACTGGTACAGTGGTTAGGGCATTTGACTGGGAGTCAGGAAACCTGGGGTTCATCACTGCTCTGCCTCCCAGCTGCTGCGTCACCTCGAGCAAGTTATTTCCCTTTTCTGTGCCTGTTTCCTGTTCCACACACAGTCTCTCCACTCTGTATAGAATATCAACTCTTTGGAGCACAGACTTCTCTTACAATTATTTTTACAGCACCTAGCACAGTGGGGTGTCTGTGACGGGTTCGGTCACAGAGACCCCCTGGGGACTCTCACCTGACATGCTTAAACTACCTCTGAGCCCGTTTTCCCTGTCAGCTTGAGACTCCAGAACCGTCTTGTTGAGCCAGACACACAAACCTGCTGCAACACAGACCCAGGGTCTGAACCACGTCCCCAAAGCTGCAGGCCATAACTGAAAACCACTCCGCAGGTACTCCTGTCTCCAGCACCCAGACACCCAGCTCCTAATGGGATCCAAACCCCAAATAAATTTGTTTTACTCTGTATAAAGCTTATACAGGGTAAACTCATGAATTGCTTGCCCTCTATAACACTGATAGAGAGATATGCACAGCTGTTTGCTCCTGGGTTCAATAATAAACAAAAGTGATTTTATTAAGAATAAAAAGTAGGATTTAAGTGGTTCCAAGTAATAACAGACAGAACAAAATAAGTTACCGAGCAAAATAAAACAAAACACGCATATGTTTCATCTTTCTTCATATTGTTATGGTTTCTGCTATTAAAAGCTGCCCTTCATCTGGCCTTAGAATCTGTTCTTGCTTTAGATGTAAAGACTTCTAAAACCATCTTTAACAATGCTTAAGGTTCAGTGCAGGCTCTGTGGAAGTCCTCTGGGACGTCTCATCGAAGTCTCAATAAAATCTGTTCAGCTTTTCAGCCTTTATCTGACTGTTTTAAATGGAACTCAAGTGATGTGTCAAAACACTCAGTAAACAGGACAAATCCAGAGTTCAGATGGCCCTATTATTTTTCCTTTCTAGCCAACCACCTGTTCTGTTGTATGGCAGAATGGGCCTCCATTAGAGATGGGATTTGCTGCTTTAGTGAACAACTGGGTTAGTCAGTAAGGCTTTGAAAAAGGACCTGTGGGTCAATTGGTTATATGGACTCCCAAGCAATCTGTGAGCTAGTGGAATATTCTTGTTTTCATAATTCCTTTCTAGCCACATCCCAGTGAAGGCTGGCACCAAACTTTGCTACCAGTATACAGCCTTTTAGAATATTGCAACTCTAGAATACCTCCAGTGCATTTTATATGTAGAAAAAAGATGGATGTGAAGGGAACATATGGGCTGAATAATTTGTTGCCATACTTGAATTGCCCCATGGGCTTACGTTTCCTTTCCCTCCTTATTTTCCCAGCCTGAAAATCCAGATCATTGCCATGTTGATAAATTCTTGTTTATTTCAAGGGTCTTTTCCAAGTACTCTTAATGAGCCCTGAGTTGTAATTCTTCACTTCTTTATACCAGTTTACAGAAACAATTTCCAAAGAAGCCACATTGGTTACTGGAGGAAAATGAGGCCATAAATGTTGCTAATAGTCATTAGTGAAAATGTGTGCATAATAAGCTTCAAGATAATCTATGTCTTTGTGTTTTTCAGATGCTAGTATGTATGCCCATTATCTTTTCAATGCGTTTGACACTGCACAGACTGGATCAGTGAAGTTTGAGGTAATTAACTTGCATCCTATTTTGGTCATCTTTCTCAGACAATCTTAGTGATTTTTCATCTTCCACATCCACTCTTCACTCTGAACTATTAGTATTTTCAGGATAAATTGTTGGAGTCTTTAGACAAAAATCAACCAGGTGACGTTGCATTTTCTCTTTATCTAAGGACCTCATGTTTAATGTTATCAGCACCACAGGAAAAGTTAGTTGTCAAAGGTGGAGAAGAGAGAGGAGTGGAGAGATTTGACAGCAGAATCAGTGCGAGAGGGACGAGAGTGGGGGAGGAGGATGCAGAGTGGTAAAGGTGTCAGTGGATAGAACAGAAGGGCCTGTGATGCTTATGACTTCTATAGTGGTTGAGGCTACTGCTGAACATGCAGATGTAGGTTAGAATTAGATGTATTGTCTTCTGGATTCCTTTTTTAAAAATAAGCTTACTTGTATAACGAATTCAGCAGCCATCTTCAGGCCCCTGGCTGCTGAAGGAGAAAACATCCATTCATTAACCAAAAGTTGGTCTGGTGCTCCAGCTACAAAAATCTATTATTAAAATTCAATTTTTTATGTATACAAGGATTTGTGGCACATGGGCATGAAGTAATAGATCTAAGCAGGAAGGACTTAGGAGTTTGGAACAAGGTTCATTGTATGTCCCAGAATAAAGCTATACTCTTCTACCATATGACCAAGAATATTAGTATGTTCTAGAAGGGGCAGAAATGTGGTGTTCCATTTATTATGTGTGTGGTGGAAAAGGTACCACATGAGTAGAGTGGTTCTCTGTGACAATACCTGTGCAGATGTGAGGTGGACTATATAACATGAGCTATCAAGTTATTCATATGGCAAAAATTATACTAATATCTGAGTTATCCTCTGAGCATGTCCATTATGAATTAGATGTTTCTAGAGAACTAAATAGACTCAGACCAAACTAAATGCTTAGATAGGGAAGGTGTATCATTAACTATCTTTAATGCTTATTAGTTTGTCCCCATGACTGAGCTTTTCCTAAAGCTCAACAAATCCTAATTCCTCCCGGAGCCCTAGCAGTGAAGTTTCTTATGGGCTGCTTCTGTAATGCCAAGCCCTTTGGGGGGGGTCATTGCCATCAGGCATTGAACCTGGGATCTCTAGATCTTAAAGCATGAGCCTGTGCTGCCTGAGCTAAAAAGAAGTTTTCTGTTAGTCGAGGCTGTAGCAATCTGATCAACCTCTTTATTTGGCCCAGCGGCTACTACAGGGTGGGAGGGAGGGAGAACAGAGCCCTTATACATTTAGTGGAAGGAGGGGCTAAAGAATTTTATGGTGACAATATTCTCCAAACAGGAAGTAAAGATGTTTTAAGAAGTTACTTTTTTTTTAAAGGCTTAAAATAACTTATTTCTTCTTCGTTGAACCAGGGTTTTGTGATGGCACTATCAACTTTGTTGAGAGGAACAGTTCATGAAAAGCTAAGATGGACATTTAATCTTTATGACATAAATAAAGATGGATATATAAACAAGGAGGTAAGGCATTTTATGGCATTAACATCTGTTTAATTTCTAAAAGGACTGACTGGCTCATGTTGCACAGCGTAATTCATGTTTCATGCTGCTAATTAAGTGCCAGTCAGCATTGGGTTTGAGCATTTCCTTTTATTAGTATTCAAGGAAAAGTGCATGGTTACTTTGTATTGCATAATTATAGAGCCTATATTTTTCCTGTGTTGTGATGTGTCTTAAAAAAAATTACTTAGCCAGGAGCAAATTCGGCATTCATAAAGGTATCTATTGATTCCTATCTTAGGATAGGTATCAAATTACTGGTATGAGAGTGACTATGCTAATGCCTGTAAGTCCCTGAGCATGCCTAGTGTTAGCTTGAGATTTTCTGAAGCCTTGATATACTCAGACAAAGCTGAGTGTTTGCCCATTTTATAAAAAGCACAGTGCCTTCTCTCCCCACAAGCTTGACCCCCGAATGATTTACTAGATCTACAACAAAATATTCTCTGGAGAATGTGCATTGAACAGTGGTGCTGAATTCTTCCATCCAATGCGTGTACGCTGTTTATAATGGCAGTCATATACATGTAGAATTGAAGAAGGGTGGTTTAATGGCTAAAGCATACGAGTGGGAGTCAATAGACCTGGGTTTCATTCTTGCCTCTGCTTGAAGCTTCCTGGATAACTTTAGGCAAGTCAAGGTAGATTGCAGTTTTTAAAAGAGTCTTAACGGATTTTTTTATACCTAGAAAATATAGACAGATGTTTATTGACCTGAATATGTGGGCACGATCAAATGATTAGTCATCCAGGTCACATTAATTTACACAACCTCTTGCAGGTACAAAACCAGATAGCCAGTTGGTAACATCTGTCTCTTAATTTCTCTCTTCTTCAGTTTCCTTATTTGAATATTGAGGCTGATACTGTTGTGTTAGCTGCCACCAGGTGGCGATGTTACACAAAGTCTTTCTCATTTTTCTTTGTGCAAGTAAGATTTTAATCTTGGTCTTGAGGTTTTGTTCTCCTGGTAAAGTATCTTTGGGGGAGCTGTGGGAAGCAGCAGGGGTGTTTGCTCTTGCCTTAGTCTCCTTAACTAGCCAACTTCTGGAAGTCAGGCATTGAGGTTTGGCTGACATCCCTGAAAGAGGTATTCGCCTACATGCTGTTTGTGAGAGCACCTGTGGTGTCTATAGTGTATAAATAAAATAAGATACATTAAAAATAAACCCAGACTCCATGTTATTGATTCCTCCTCCAATAGAAAGATGACATACAGGGCCTTGACATCTGCTGTCACTCAGAGGCGTGACAATGCTTACTTCTCCAGAGTTTTGTGGGGCTTAATCAAATAAAGCCAGATTATGCCACAGTAATCCAGACTGAGTTGCACATTACTGCATCAAATTGATTTCAATAGGACAGCCCACAGAATATAATACTACTCAATGTAAGGGTGGCAAATTCTAGCTCTTAATATCTAACGAAAGACTTTGACATCCTTGGATTTCAAATCTTTGGCACTAGAGAACTGCAAAGGGGAGAGACAAACTTGGTTCGTAGACTGTATCGGAGGGAGGAGGTTAGTGATGTGAGCTACTCGTTGAGAGTAATCGAAGAACCTGCCAGTGACACCAGCATGTTTTCAAATAGTTCTAGCGTAATACAAGTGTCATGTAATGGGATGGAGTTAGTCAGTAGTGTAGTTAAGACTAGCGCAGTTCTTGGGAGCCCAAGTGAGAACAAACTCCCACAATCCCTGTCCTCCCTTGGCCAAGAAAACCGTGCCAGTAACAACTGTGTTAGAAAACTTTTGTCCAGTGTGGTACAGGCAGCAGGGCCGGCTCCAGGCACCAGCTTAACAAGCAGGTGCTTGGGGCGGCCAAGGGAGAGGGGCAGCACCTGCGGCAATTTGGGGGCGGCAGGTCCCTCACTCCCTCTAGGAGTGAAGGACCTGCCTCCAAACTGCCGCCACCGATCACGGCTTCTCCCCCACCCCCCCAATTG